AAACGCGTAGACGCATGATGCACTAGCGTCACGCTGTGGGCGGAGCTTGAATCCTGCAAACTTTACATTGGGAGTTTTGTTACTTATTTCAGCTGTTCCCCAATCAAGGAGCAGAGAGGGCAGACACACTGGCATCAAGTCGCTGGAATACCTTACAGACACTCGGACCGGGTCAGCAGTGCTGGAGACATCTACCTGCACTTGGCTATTTGCCATACCGGCTTGCGTGAGTAGCAGTATCTGGAAACCGCATAAGCTCACTTTCTTTCATTCTGTAAGCAGCTGTACAATTGGTGTTTTTACTTGATTTTTTTCTTTGCAATAAACTGCTATATATATTTTTTTTAATATTTGTACATTTGCTATACATACTATACTATTATCTACCTTTGATTTTTTTTTTTATGTACATGATTCTACATGCAACCTCATCTGAGCAATATAAAGTATCTATATTTATATTTTTACTTTACTTGCACCATGGGTCTGTGACCACTACCCACTTATAAGTTCCACTTATATTTTCCATTTACAATATTCATCTATTTGTGCTGATCACCTTAAAACAAGTCCAAATGAGGCTCAGTAGTGTGTGTGTGGCCTCCGCGTGCCTGTATGACCTCCCTACAACGCCTGTGAATGCTCCTGATGAGGTGGCAGATAGTCTCCTGAGGGATCTCCTCCCAAACCTGGACTAAAGCATCTGCCAAGACCTGGGCAGTCTGTGGTGCAACGTGACGTTGGTGGATGGAGCGAGACATGATGTCCCAGATAGGCTCAATTGGATTCAGGTCTGGGGAACAGGCGGGCCAGTCCATAGCATCAATGCCTTTGTCTTGCAGGAACTGCTGACACACTCCAGCCACATGAGGTCTAGCATTGTCTTGCATTAGGAGGAACCCAGGGCCAACTGCACCAGCATATGGTCTCACAAGGGGTCTGAGGATCTCATCTCGGTACCTAATGGAAGTCAGGCTACCTCTGGCGAACACATGGACTGCTGTGCGGCCCCACCATTGCTGACCCACTGCCAAACCGGTCATGCTGGAGGATGTTGCAGGCAGCAGAACGTTCTCCACGGCGTCTCCAGACGTTTGTCACATGTGCTCAGTATGAAACTCCTTTTTTCTGTGAAGAGCACAGGGCACCAGTGGCGAAATTGCCAATCTTGGTGTTCTCTGGCAAATGCCAAACGTCCTGCACGGTGTTGGGCTGTAAGCACAACCACCACCTGTGGACGTCGGGCCCTCATACCACCCTCATGGAGTCTGTTTCTGACCGACACATGCACATTTGTGGCTTGCTGGAGGTCATTTTGCAGGGCTCTGGCAGTGCTCCTCCTGTTCCTCCTTGCACAAAGGCGGAGATAGCGGTCCTGCTGCTGGGTTATTGCCCTCCTACGGCCTCCTCCACGTCTCCTGATGTACTGGCCTGTCTCCTGGTAGCGTCTCCATGCTCTGGACACTACGCTGACAGACACAGCAAACCTTCTTGTCACAGCTTGCATTGATGTGCAATCCTGGAAGAGCTGCACTACCTGAGCCACTTGTGTGGGTTATGGACTCCGTATCATGCTACCACTAGAGTGAAAGCACCGCCAGCATTCAAAAGTGACCAAAACATCAGCCAGGAGGCATAGGAACTGAGAAGTGACCTGCAGAACCACTCATTTATTGGGGGTGTCTTGCTAATTGCCTATAATTTCCACCTGTTATCTATCATTTGCATAACAGCATGTGAAATTGATTGTCACTCAGTGTTGCTTCCTAAGTGGACAGTTTCATTTCACAGAAGTGTGATTGACTTGGAGTTACATTGTGTTGTTTAAATATTCCCTTTATTTTTTTTAAGCAGTGCGCATATATATATATATATATATATATATATATATATATATAGCAATTTGTGAAGTTTGGTGTATTAGGTCATAAGTAGGAAGTGTACAGATTAAGGAACAGCACACACATACAAATTTAGTTGTGAATTATATGCTACTTAAATTCACCTATCTCAGCAAACAAATATGGGTATTCAATTCCACCCTATGGCCATATTGTGTTAAGCCCATCACTACTTCATACTACACCAATGTCAGTGGATCCTACACTAACATCAACATGAGACACAAATTAAATAGTGATAATGCTAAATGAGTTAAAGTGTATTTAAGAAATCTGTTGTAAGATCATATACACACACACACACACATATATATATACATATATATATATATATACATATATATATATATATACATATATATATATATATATAAGGTGATACATACAAAAAATGCAGTGTCAAAACTGAACAATTAAAGTGATTGAAATGAAAATTATAATTAAAGTGGCATTACTATTCAAAACCTCCTGCAATGTATACTTTCCTGTGGTCCCACCCCTCCAGATTCCCCTTCCCAAGCCAAGGCAACACCTCTTCCTCTTTAAACTACACCTTTTCCTACTACTTTTAAAGGGAAACTATAGTGCCAGGGAAGCAAAGCTGTTTTCCGGGCACAGTAGTTCCCTATAGTGCCCCTCCTCGGCAATGAAAGGGTTAAAACTCCTTCGGTCACTTACCTGTGACCTCCTCTGCGTTTCCATTAGGCTTCTCAATAGGAAAGCATTGAATCAATTCTTTCCTATGGGGATTTAGCAGACGCCTGATTTCCTCATGCACAGAATGAGGACATCCAGCATCAGTTAGGAGACGTGTGGTCACCTAGCAACTCTAAAGTCCCCCTAGTGGCTGTCTGGTAGAAATTCACTAGAGGTGGAGTTAACCCCTCAAGGTAATTATTGCAGTTTCACTTCTGTGAAAGTAGTCTGGGCTCCTATAGTGTCCCTTTAAACACACACACATTCACTGACAGACACAAACTGGCAGATACACACACAATGGCAAACACACACTTACAGTCACACACACACACACACATATATATATATATATATATATATATATATATATATACACACACACGTATATACACACACATATATATATATATACACACACATATATATATATATACACACACATATATATATATATATACACACACATATATATATATTTGTGTTAGGTGCTTAAGATAGTACAGTGTGAAATACCATGAAAAAGCGTAGGATGATAAAAGGAGCAAGTCGGTTGTGGTGTGCCGAAACCGACGATGAGGTAGGCCTGAGAAAGAAGAGGGCCCACCCAGGAAAAGAAATAGAAAGGAAAATAAATGTTAAAGTGGTGTGGTGGGGGGGTCATTCAACGCTGACCTCGAACGGTAAGGAGCCAGGCAAGGGGAGTGCCTTAAGTAGGCTAGGGGTGGAAAACCAGCACCTCCCACAAATGCAGGCAAATTGCCTTAATACTTGTGTTAGGTGCTTAAGATAGTACAGTGTGAAATACCATGAATAAGCGTAGGATGATAAAAGGAGCGTCGGTTGTGGTGTGCCGAAACCGACGATGAGGTAGGCCTGAGAAAGAAGAGGGCAAAAATTAAGTAATCCAATTTATTAACAGACAACCAATACATATGCATTTATCAACCAGACATGTTTATGAAAGCATCTCTTAACTCTTGTACTGGGTTCGGTATGTACCGTGAGTAAGCGGATGACTTCCAGCGCCCCAGTGTTTTGATAACATGAGTTGGGTCGTTGAAACTGGAGGCTGTGGACGCGGCTCCTATACGAAAGGAGTGTCCTGAGTAATTGTTTGCGTTGAGGCCCAGTTGTGTGAGCAAGGACCTGATGTAGGTCATGAAGGTTGTAGTGGTGAGTACTGCACCTTGTAGTTGTAATAACGGTTGCGAGGGCAGTAAGTGATGGTGCTGTATGTAGGCATCAAGAACTTTAACGGGACACCATCTGTTGTGCGTGGGGTAGTACGGAATGTTTACAGGTATGTGCTGGCTGGTTTTGGAGTGAGGTAAAGACAGGATGTAATGATCCATATGTTTTGTCAAGTGGGAATAGAGGAGGAATGGAGT